CCTCTACATATTACCATACTGGGGCTTGGACCAAATATGAAAGTATTTTCCTAGTGCGCAAGGAGTGAAGAACTACTTCATGAAAATAGGGTCACGGAAGATGATGCCTTTACATTGAAAGTGGCTGCGTCCGCCAAGAGACGCCTGGCTCGGTACTTACATTAGTCAGAAGAAAAAGAAGACTTGAAAAATCACAAATTCAGCTACATAGAGAACGCGAAAGAGGACGTGAACTTCTCTTGTAAAGTTTCGTCCCAATTTTGAAATAAGAAGTTTGGTTCATAGGAATTCGAATATGAGGGAACTATTTTAAATACCCGAAGTGACGAACGTATGAGGGTCACTGAGGTCGTCAGAAAGAAATATCGTCCCATAACTGACCTGCAAGCGAAATTCACACGTTTTCCCATCATATTCATTCTGAAGAGCCCCTGCTTCTTTTCCAGAATTTGCTTAATTCCAGGAATTCTGTTCTGGTCGTGTTTATCAAGTTCCTGAAAACAGTGATGTCTGATGACTAAAGACGACTTACGAAAATAACTTGGAATTCGATTGGTTGACTTATGATACCTCGTCATAAATGGCATTGACCCGTTGTTGAAGAGCTAAATAAGCAAAATGCATCCTTGCGTTCATTGTCTTCCCTTGCGTCCGATTCGTGATCAGTTCCATGAGTTTAGGGCTCTTATCACCATTAAGAACCAGAGCCACAGCCTATAATATAGGAAAATCCCATAAAAAGCTAATTTCAGTTCAAAATATGCAAATATATGAGAGACCTACTTTTATTGTCTCCGAGGCTTCAAGCACCCGCCGAAGATTTACTGACTGAGGGTTCTCATATCTTTCACCCTTGAAGAGCCGAATTGGACGGAATTTTGTTGGAGGTACCATAATCAGCTCACAAAACAACCCATCAAGCGGGCATAGACCACCGGCCTGTAAAAGATAGAAATTTGGAATAACCGTTGACAAGAATGGTTCACGGCTAACATACTCCTTCATCAACCAGCATAGGGAACAATTTCAACAGAACTTTCCCTTCAGTTTTGAACAGAAGACGAAAGTGTTCGCGTATTTCAGCAGCACGCCAGGCGAGCTGAAACTATTTCATGAGATCCTAGGAAACTGGCTTAAAGAAAGTAGGTATTAAAAATTTTGATGCTATAGATGGAAATATAAAGTTGGACGAATATAACTCAAAACAGCTCACCTTCTCACAAGCCCCACTTTGAACTGATCTCATTTGCAATTCCAATGCACCTTCAGACACGTCAGCATTCCCATAGCTAGCATCCGTTAACATAGTTGTCTTATTCTCTAAAAAAAGAGGTAGCCAAATCAGTTTTCCAAGGAATTGCAGTAAGAATGGTATTACCTTTCTCTTCACCTGCAGAGTCTACTTCCTCCTCTATATCTTCACCCTCAAATCCGCTTTTGAACAAGTCCAACTGAAAAAGTAGGTAATCAGTAAATCACAAACTCAACAGTTCCTGCATTCAACCAACCCGCAGGCATCCTTGTACAAGAGGCATGGCCCTCAGTCTTAAATATTATCCCACTCTCACGGCTTCACAGTGAGTAACTAAGGCGTGTGACCTTTATAGGTGGCTTTCTGAGGCCTCCCCAGTTGTCCCGCCCACAAGAGTTCAAAGGCTATTTTCCGTTACGAGTTCGGGTTTTACTTAACGGTTTTCGTTGCCTTTCACTGCTAGATGGTATGAGCAATGAATGACGCGAGGAAACGATTAGTGAGAAAGAGGCGGCAGGATTATAGCTTTACTGACTGACGCAGACCACGAGCAGCGGACGCGACGGGCTCGTACAATTCGAGGCTTGTTTCACCACTTTTCAGGGACCTGGGCGTGTTCACTTTAGCACTGCAGGCTCCTAACCTGAAACGCGCCACGTATCTTCAACATGCAACTACCCGGAGTTAAAGGCGGCTATAGCGCTTCGTGCTCAGCGCCTTACGCTGGCTGTTCTAAATAGCATCAATCACTTCTTGAACGCCGAGACCGTCGAATAGGCATTGCAGCCCTGAATTCGACGGGAAAAAAATTGTATTGGTCAAGCAGACGCCGCGATTACGCTCGATCTATACGTGGATATCGTTCATCATAAGGCATAAACCCAACCTGTACACCGACGCTCAATATCGCTAGTGTGCTTCACCAACTCGGAACTAACACAAAGAAGAAAGTATAGTGACCTTCTTCATTTGATACACCACCAAGTTGGAGGCGGTACAAAGGCTCGCCCTGTAGTTTCCGATGGGCATGGTTCGAACTCGTCGGTACATCTGGGGTGCGAGTAGGCAGATCTGCCTGGGCCAATTCCGAACTCAGCATCTTGCCTCATGGCAGCAGTAATCATCATAAATCATTCCCGTCTAGTACTACCAACCTTTTTCCGTTTCTTTCCATGAACTGTGAAGTCAATAAGGATACATCGAGCACCATCGTTGCGAATTTGCCCGTTGAAACCCTTGCACAGGGGACAACGAGCTTTGCGTTTGAACTGAAAAGATGAGCTTATGATACCACATAAGTATTACAAGAGCGTATAGACACAGAAATAAAGCTAACCAGGTGATCTCTAAGGAAGTTTTTTATTATGTTCTTTCGAAGATCTACAGTATTCCTACTCGGCGCTTCAGGGGAAAGGCCGCATAATGGTCGACCGGCACGATCAGAAATCAATTTGTCAAGTTCAGCGAACATTTGCTGTTCCTCTTCCTCAGTCATAAACACGGCTGAAAATTATATGGGCTTTGAAATCTAACAGGTAGTAACGAGTGGTAATAAGTTACAAAAACAGCAACAAACAGAATTCTAACATAGCTGGGAGCTTCCATATTTGTCCTTGAACTGTGTCTCTATTTCAGGTGCAAGATGTGGCACACCCAACTCGAAACACCTAAAACGAGATTTCATAGGGGGAGTAATTGTTGTCCCTTTTAACTTTTTAGTGTCCCCACTCTGCTGTGCAGACCAAATTCACATGCAAACTGCGATGCTGTTCGGCTTGGGAGGGGCATTTTGCACTTTAGCTAGTTTTTTGTTGGTATCTGTGAAACTGCATGTCTCCACCTGGTAAGACCTGTAGACTCCTGTCAAGCGTAAAAAAGCTCTGTTTTTACAAGACTTTATATGAATTTACAGGTCTCCACGCAATGCACAGGCAGTGGTCAATGGGTACCAGCAAAATGCCCCTGCCAAACGAGCAACGCCAAAATTTCTGCTCTGGAGTAATGTGACCAGAACTTTGTTGACGAGTGAATTAATTAAAAAGAATTCCACACCCGCTTAAACCAAAATACCTGACGCTTGAGTTACTTGCTAGTTTTGGAGCTGATCCCGCCGCACAAATGGAGGTGTTTTTGTACTAAGCTAATCTGATATACGTGTTCAGAACGTCAAAGAGCTTGTAGGAAAAGCCTTAGCAGATTTGGTTTCCCAAGGTGTTTAGGTGCTTGTAATGCGGGGCCGGGCAGGTTTCGAGCCAAGTGGTACAAGGAGGCATCGATGTCTTGGAGCACTACTACACACAGGAGCGAAGACAGCGTTCAGACTTCGCGATGATGCGCCTCGACACGCATCTGCGTGCTGTAGCGTG